CATTCATTTCTTTTCAACAAATATTTATTGAACAAACTCTGTTAGATGCTAGGGGATACAATGATGAATATCCACCTGGCCTTATTTTAGAGGGTATTGGAGATAATAGCAATCTCTTACATTTGTTATTTACTTCCAATTTCCAAAGCACTTCACACACATCATCTAATTTAATCTTCGTGGCCAGTCTGGCAGTGGCAGATAAAGCCTGTGCTCCTGAGCAGGACCCGAGCGGCAGAAAAGCCTGGATAAAAGATGCCACCAATGTTGGAGGAAAAGGGGGGTTTGTGATCATTGGTTACCCAACTCACCTTCCACATAGGAAGTTCAGGAGCTGAAAGCGCAAGGCTTGTAGGTACTAGGATTTAGAAGGCTGTCTCCAGATGAAGAAATTCTCTGGATTTTAAGTCAGCCTTCAAAGAAATCTTTGAAAGGGAGGACATTATATTCAAAAAGAAAATAGGTTTCACATTCAAATATGACTGCAAAGAAGGTATTTATAAAGTGATGACTTAATGAAGCAGAAAGAACAGTGGACAAGGAGTTAGGAGGTTGATAGCCTGGTCTTACTCTTTGACTTTTGGAAAATGAGGAAATTGGATTCAGATAATTTCTCAATTGCAGGTCAGAAAGTCTGCATGATTTACCAGACAGGTTTGCAATTACATATATTGTTTAACAGTTCTTGGAAAAGGTTTGCTCAAATGCAGCTTTAGAAATTATGCAATTTATTAGTACTAATATGTGCATTTACTTAATTGTCAAGACTGATGGAATTTCAAAAACTAAATAGTATTTCCAAGATCTTATTTTATGGTCTCCTCTCACTTGTATTTTGGGAATGATAAAGTTGGAAAGCATCATGTCTGGAACAAAGGAGACCTTCCATAAATATTTGTTTCACAAATATATGGAGACATGAATGAATGAATGAATGAATGAATGAGAAACAGATGACTTTAGGGAGCAAAGGATGGAATTTTATAGTGGTGACAAACCGGAGAGGGCAAAGGATATGCTTCTGAGAAGGGCTATTTTGTTTCATGCCAAATGTGAAAACCACATAATGAAAAACAAAATAGTGCCTCGAGGGAAGTGGGCTGGATGGGTAGGTACATCTATACAAGTTTTAATTTGATCACTTTGGTCCTATTATTGTTTTGTTAAGACCAGTTTGGTGATTTATGGTTAAATAGCCATGTTGTTTGATCCAAGATGTTTGCATTTGGAAGATGAGGTTACTCCTGTCCCAATTCCAAGACAGCTTAATTCTGTATAAATGGAAGCATCAGACTGAAGTCCAGAGTCCCAGTTTATATCAAAGATATTTGTCATTTTACGCAGTTAGGTAAGCCATTTGAATGCTCCTTGGCGTTTTGACCAGTTGGCTGGCCATTGACAGTGCCTCTGTAGCTATGCCAACCCACGTGTTGTATAGGGGCACATTCAAGAAAACCTCACACCTCCCCCGAAAGAAGCCTCTGGCTGTGTTCATAGGGTCTGGTGGCCCTCCTGTGGCTCTAGTCACTGTGGCTGTTTCTTGGGGAATGAACTCAGATTCTTCTGATTCTTGGGAACCCCCCACTATCCTTCAGTGCTCCAAGACACAGCTCAGACTTCTTGGTAGCTCATTTTGAAAATCCCCAAACCACAAGATCATCTAGCATTTACTCTTTCTGGTTAAACTACTTTCAGATTAAACTTTGCAATATTATCACTTTATCTTTCCAACTAGATTAAAAACTCTTCTCGGGTGGGAACTGTATTTGGAACACATCTGCTTTCCCACAGAGCCCAGTGGGGGTGAAAGAGGCAGTTGTTGATTTCCAGGTAATACATACATCATTGGTAATAATTTTATGGAAGTTGTTGCAGCATTTAAGGAATCTAATTAGAAATTCACAACTTTGAAGTACAGGCAAATATGTATTATGTGTGGACCAAAATGATGAAAATATATAAATAAATAAAAGTTCAGCACTTCTACCATTAAACTTTTAATGTTTAATAAAAATAAAAATAAAGTTTGTATTTTCTGCTTCACCAGTAGAAGTTAGTAGTGGTGAGTTCCACAATCAAGAAGACATTATTTAAAGAGAAAAGTGGAAGCAGAATTATTTCTTCACATGCACCGTTGCTTAGCTAATGTGTCTGCTCAGAAAACTAACTTAAGCTGTTCAACTCAGTGTTCCTGATTTTTTAATTCTGAACTCTTCCATACCCTTGATTCCTCAAAAAGTAATCATTGAGCTTTTAATGTTTTGAGGCTAAGAGGAGCATATAAAGAGAAGAAAGAAGAAAAGAAGGTGTTGAGAAGATAGAAGAAAGTAAATATTTACACTCTACTTTTCATAAGGACTGACTGATATTCCCTTTTCTGCACAGAACATTTTCCTAACTTACAAAGGAAATTGGAGATCAGGTTTCTTATCCATTTATTACATAAAACTGTATCACAGTCCAAATGTCTGATTCACTGTATCATTTCTCTTTCTTTCCACCCAAGCCAATTATTGACCAGCTATTGATGAGAGCCCAACCACTTTAACCTGCTGCTCATTTATCACGAAAGGGCAATAAGGCCTTTGTGTGAAGTGGTAGGCTATCAGGCAGAGCTTCCTAACCATTTCCTTTCACCTAGAAATGCATCATTGGGACATCTTAGGTCTACAATGCTCACTTTTTCAAGTCGAAAGTTATGATCTCACTTAGAGAAAGTGTGATGCTTCTCCTTCCCCTGCAGTGGACAGTGGAGGAGAACCAGAGGACCAGGGCCGCCACCTTGGTGGGTGGGGTGTGCTGTTGTACACCCAGAGGGTGTGATCCTACACCTCTAGATCACATACAGCCTTGTAAACCAATGTTTCCTCAATTAAAAAAAAAATTAAAATAACTTTCCCAGCTAATTGACTTCACATTTCCTTAGTGAAATCATCTGTGTTCAAAGCCCAATTATAAGATGGACTGTTTTAATCTAAGGAAGATTTTTATGTAGTTTTGGATACATCTTTCAATGTCCTGAGTTGAACAGTCAAGTATAAATGCCTTTTCTGTTGGACTCAAACACAGTGAAGACCATAGCTGCATCTTCCTCACTATAGTGTGCTTCCTCTCTCTCTCTCTGTCTCTTTCTGTCTCCGTCTCTCTGTCTGTCTCTGTCTCTCTCTTCTCCCTCTCACTCTCTCTCCCTCTCATTCTCTATCTCTCTCTCCAATAAATTATCAAATAGTTTCAGTATTTCTAAAGAAATTTAGTCTGACCCCAAAATGGAGCCATTTTAAATAACCACAAAACTTGCTGATATTAAATTGGAAAAAAGTTGGTTTTTTTTTTTTTAAAGATTTAATTTTTTTTTTATTTATACAAGAGCTGGGGTAGAGGCCAGATGTGTGGGAGGGTGAGAGGATTCACCAGAGACAGAGTGGGGAACAGAACAGGCAGACTGACTGAAATACACTGCGAGGGGAGCAGTGGGCAAGACAGGAGAGGTCTGCTGCACCATGTGGGTTGCTCCCTGGCCAGCCGGGATCCAACCGGTGCTGTAGAGGCTGCGGACAGCTTCACAGTGCGGTGCTCAACCACCTGCACCACCAGGGAGGCCCCTGGAAAAAAGTTTTAAGGGTAGCAAACCAGTTTTAGTGGTTACTGAAGCAATCTGTCTAAAGACTCACCATCAGATAGTCTGAATAGAGGAAGGCCTGAGAACTTTATAATTTGGTTTGATGGCTGCCTGTCAAAGGGTAGTCACCTCTGGCTTTTAAACAGTGACCAGGTAATAACTATAATTTCACCTGCTCATGCCTTGCAGACAGCAGCCACCTTTTTAACTCTGGGGGGATTGGTCGTAGAAAATACACAGCATTTCTCTGTAATTAAAGCTCCAACTGAATGCACCTACTCATTGGAATTCAGAGTCTCAGAGACCAGTGTCTCTTAGTCTTCTTCATGCCCTCTCCTTTTGCCTCCTGTTTTCTCCTCTTTCCTAATCTTTCTGACTTCATAATTTATCATCAGCCAAAACCTGAAAAACATCTAACAGTCCTGCTTCTTAACTAAACCAGGTGATCCTTGAAGCCTATTCTGTCTGTCTTAACAGGAAACCATAATAAATGTTGGTAGAACTCACAGAAGTCCCCTCTCTCCATCCTGATGCTGCGCAAGAACATCACTTCTGTGTAATCTTCAACCCTATCTAAAGTGATTCTTAACCCAATTCAAGAATGGTAGATTTTATTCTTCAGCGAGTTACCACAGAAGTATTCATCCATATTGATACCAAATAATGAGCACCAAGATTAATTATGGGTAGCTATCACTTAATAAGTCAACTGCACAGGTAAAAGGGCATGCTATTAGCAGTTAGCATTTGGCAGAAAGATGGTTGAGACCTCAGGCTGTGCAGTGAATACTATGGAGATTCAAATCCTTGCTTTCAACATCAACCAATGGTGAGATTGTAAGAGGAGCTTCTTCCCCTTTCCAACAGGATCCACTGAACTCATGGAGTTGAATTCATGAGCAGCATCTATAAAGTGCTCAGAGGGGTTTGCCTGAGCAAGGTCAGTAAATATTAGTTGCTTCAACTACCTGTTATTAGCTAGTTGAAATAAAATTAGCTAGTTTGAAACAAAAACAAATTACAGGTTTTCAGAAAGTAAATATTCACCTGTTCCCATCATGGAAAAGAGACACTAGAGTAATGTTGAGATTGCCTCATACCCGATCAGCAACTCTCTATGTTCTGACTTATCTAAATTAAAAAATATGTATTAACAAAGGGTTTGGTTGTTTCTGCAAATACCCTTGCAAATGCAGATAAGTGGTTTTTGTATCTTCTTCTCCTAAGATGACAGAGAATTGTACTGGTAACTTGGCAGAGGTATTTATATGACAGGAGGACAAAGTCATCCTAATGTCCTATATAATAGCAGCAACTCGAATTTTTACTGGCTAATGTACCAATACTCTTAAAACTTATGTAACACATGTTCTTTCTACAGAGCTACACAACAACCTGCCCAAGATTCAGGAGGAAGACAACAAAGAATAAAATAGAGAGGTAAAGAGGCTGTCTGTGGTTCCATAATGAGATAGTGGCAAAGACTATAACTGACTCTCAACACCAAGCTCTTTCCATTTTACACATGACCTACTTTGTGAATACATTTAATTTGTAAAAATCTGAGTGTGTGCTATAAATGGTTTTTGTCATGCCCCATGGCTATGGCTCCCAGGAAGGGGTCCTCGGACTGGCAATATCTGCTTTACCAGAGAACTTGTTGAAGTAAAAATTCCTGGGCCCTTCTAAATCAGGAATTCTGGGGTTAAGACCCAATAATCTATTCTACCAAGGTCCCATGTGACCCCTAGCACCCCAAAGAGCCACTGCCCTAGGACACAGAGGCTACAATAGCTAGAACACCCCACTGATTCCTCACAACAGCACCAACATATGTAATATGTCCATCACAATTTCAGATGTGGAAACAAGACTCTAGAGGATAGTCAGCTTTTCTAAGGTCAGGTGGTCAGTAACAGAAAGGAAACTCAAACTATGTCTGTCTGATTCCAGCCACCGGTCCACTCTTCTAGTGCCTTGCCACAGTTTGTTAGAAATGGTTTTAACAAAGAGTTCAAATCACTGTATCTATGATTTCTACCCAACCAAAAAAGCTAGTCTTTTTCTTCACAATAGAACGTCACATTTAAAAAGATGGTTATCAACTCTCTCTACTCCCATCATATAATTTGGGAGATAAGATATTAAGATAAGTCACCTGACATGGATATGTGACCTTTTCCAGGAAATCATTATACAAATCCCCAACCCCAGTGAGATGTAGGCTCTTATAGCTTGGGTCACTTTTTACACTATTCCAAATTTGGAATTACAGATCACATTTGATCACTGGACTCTTCAAATGGTTGGGACTTATTTTATAAGGGAATGAAAATGTAATTGACCTCAATTTCCATAAGGACAAGCTCATGGACTCAATAGAGTGTTCATAGTCAGAAAACAAGTTAAGATAATGGTGAAGGCCTGAATTAGTAGAGGAAACCCCTAATGGGGGTCTTGACAGCTGTCCTTCAAGATACTTTTCAATCAACGACAGATGCTCTGTGGTTCTGCCCTGAAATCTATTGATGCTCATCTCTGAGCAGGGGCTATGTTTAAGTGGTTGCATATTTCATTTCCTTCTCCATCAGTCTTACCTTGGGGACATTAAGTTTTCAGGGAACCATGGGAACAGAACTGAGTATAACCTTAAAAGACAGCAATTTGGCATAAGATGCTGCTAGGGCAAGTAGGTAGTAATTTTTTTTAAAGATTTATTTTTTATTTATACAAGTGCTGGGGTACAGGCCAGATGTGCGGGAGGGTGAGAGGATTCACCATAGACAGAGTGGGGAACAGAATAGGCAGACTGACTGAAACACACTGCTGAGGGGAGCAGTGGGTGAGACAGGAGAGGTCTGCCACACCATGTGAGATTCTCGCTGGCCAGCTGGGATTAAGCCCGTGCTGCAGAGGCCGCGAACAGCTTCACAGTGCTGCTCTCAACCGCCTGCGCCACCAGGGAGGCCCAAGTAGGTAGTAACTTCTAATACTTGGTTAGAGATTCCTAAGGGGCCTGTTTTCCATTGCTCATGCATCTGCAAATTGACCTCACTAAGGAGACTTAATCCAGAATGGCCTTTCCCCACTTCCCATATCCTTGCTTCACCCAAAAGCAGGGTGGGAAAACAACAAGCCAGGAGCAAGAACTCACCATGTCTATGAGAAAGAAAATCTGAGTAATCTGCTCCATCACCTATTGACTGTCTCCTTTGGTAAGTCATACATCATTATATTTTGTCTACATATCTTTGTCAAATTGAGATTAATTTAAGATATGTTCTATCTCTGAAACAACTTTTAAGTCAAAGCACAGAAATAGCTTCCCTTAGACCAAATGTTCATGTGAATATCAATCAGCTATCCCATGGACTAGAAAAATGTTAGCTATCCTACGTTTTTATATTTTATGACTTGGGCACAAAAATGTAGTTCTGTCATAACACATTGGTAAGAGGTAAGAGGGAGTCAAATAAACCTAGGTAGAGAGATTGGGACCAGGAGGATTAGGTGGGTTGAGAAAAGCAAAGGGATTTTGTGATAACGACACAGGGCAAGCAGGAAAGAAGTTTAGTTACCAGGTGGATTTAGATCAGACACCTCCTGTAATATAATGTCTCCTGGGCATTTAGAGTCAACTTCCTGCTGAGAAAGGATCCTTCTCAATTCTGCTTTACTATTCCTCGGTCAGTGACAGACACACAGGGAAGCTGATTCGTGCACCGTCAGTAGATGGATTTTCCTAAAAGCAGTCTTGGCTAATGGCCACCTAACTGCTCCCTTTCATAAACCTCTATTATTGACATTTAATACTAAAACTTTGTTCCATGGGGCCATATAAACCATAATTAATTCAACCCAATTGAAAGGAAAAAAAGATATTACATGTAACTACTAAGAAAATGCAAAACATTCTTAGGTGGTTTACATTTTCATTAATCAGAATATGTCCACAATAACAAAGGCACTGGATAAAAATTCAGAAATTAAATCCCTTGGTTGGTTATTGCACGTGAGGCCAATCAATCAACTGGACTGATACTCTCTTTCCCTATTGAATTAATTAATTTCACAGCTAAGCCAATTTATTTTGGCTGCATAGACTTCTTTTCAAGCTAATTAATAAAAATTTAGAAACTAACATTTTAAAGGTTAAATTGCTAAGCGATTCAAAACACAAGCATGTCAAAACAATTTCTTTCTCCACACTTCTTCCTTTCCATCCTATAGACTTAATGGTTGAAGTGAAAGTTGTTTTTTAAAAAGTACAAGTCTCCTACTTATTTATTTATTTATTTTTTTGTGGGACCCTCGCCGGCGGCCCGGCCGGGGAACGAACCAGCGCTGCAGAGGCTGTGGGCAGCCTCGCAGCCCAGTGCTCAACCGCTCGCTCAACCGTTGCGCCACCAGGGGAGGCCCAATTCTCCTACTTATGAAGAAAATGGATATAGGGGTATTATGCATCCTCAAGTGAATTTAGATGACAATGAAAACATAAAGTCATATGAACGGTCATAATAAATTTTCAATTATTATACAATTTAAACTCTAGGTCAAATAAACTATAATTTGTTTTCAAAATAGGATGGAAAACAAGGAATTGGGAAAAATATTTTTTAATTGCATAGGCATGAGCAAGTACATACAAATATCCACACATTTTGAAAGATCATTTAATAAAAGAAAAAAGTAAGATCTCAAAATGATAATGTTGAAAATTCATGCATAAAAAATTCAGAAGAAAATAAGAATAGGATATAAAAATTGGAAATTGGTTGATTTTTCCATTTGTCCCTTCCAGTCCCTTTAAAAACCTGGGATGGTATCTGAAGAATTTATTTTAATCTACCTGCTCTTCCATAGTTTGACCCACTGAACTTTTCTTCATCTTCCCAGGTTCTTCATTTAAGTCTGCTCCCTTTAAAGATTATGTTCAACACCCCAAGATTAGAAATCACATGGTGGACATACCAGCCAATCTTGACCTTAAGTGCTTTGTCCCCATGAGCTCCTCACATTCAGCCTCTGTCCTGAGCACTCAGAAGGTGGCAAAGGGCCTCTTTGACTGCTGACTTCCTGTCCTGCTCCAGAGGAACTAAGCGACAGTGAGTGGGACAGAGATCATGCACCCAAAACCCTAAACTAGATTCATACCAGGGGATAGTGTATAAGAATTTGCAAAACTTTTCATTGAATCACTAATTTTCTCAGGCTTGGATGTAACTGAGACACCCAAGGGTTGGGGGTTAACAATTTTCATGTTTCGCTGCTCTCCTGCCCACCTGTAACTATGCAGGAGTTTCTCTTCTCCAACCTTCTTCCTTTGCAAAACAGGAGCAGCAGCTCTTGACCCAAGCCCGCCCACCTGTGCCTATGCAGCCTCTCTTCTAACAAATCTGCCCCTTCAGAGGCAACTCTTTCTGCCCACTTATGTGCGCAAGTGTCTTTTCTTCCTCTGCTTTTTATATAAAATAATTCTGCCCTTTCAGAGATATATAAATATAAACAGTGTTCATATACTGGTGTATCCCATACAAATGTTTTAAAAGCAGGATAGCAATACAGATCAAGAGTCATAATAATGCTCACATCCTTTGAGAAAGTGAATCCACTACTGGGAGCTTATCCTAAGTAATTCAAAAGAAGAAAAAAATCCTACAAAAAAATGAATGTGAACACTTATTCAAAATAGTAAGAAGAGAAAAATCTGACAACAAGGAACAACTTTACTAATTATGGTAAAACTGACTAGAGTATTATTAACAAAAGTGATTGTTACATAGCAATCATTCATTGTAATAAAATTTTATAATAAAAGACCTCACACAAAAAATGAATACAAACTATAAGTTAAAGGTGATTACAACTATACAATGTGTATTACATAGTGTCCAGATGCCTTAGACCTTCATGATTTGTCAATACTGTATTTGCAAATTTGCCTACCTCCTAAAAGTAACTTGTAACCCCCAAGTCAATACTTGTAGTGCTTTCCTAGCCATTCACAGGAGTGTACAGAGAAGCAAAAATTTTGAGTCATTTGACACAAACACATTCCTAGTGAAGTTTGCATAAGGTGACATTCTCATACTGTGAATAAACATACTTGTGGTCTATTTAGTGCCAAAACATTTTGTATTTATTATGGTTTTGTTTTGATTTTACTATTCTGAATAGCCAGCAAGTGTGTTGCACAAGTGCTGTCTTGTGTTCTTCAGGGCAAGAAGACAATGATGTGCCTTGCAGACAAAATATAAGTATTAGATAAGCTGTGCTTATGCATGACTTACCATGTACTTGATGAGTCCAATGTTAATGAATCAATTATTCATACTTAATAAGGTGACATTAAACAGAATTACATGTAACATGCAGTGGTGTATGATTGATCAGTTGACAAAAATTCTGTGACCAGTTTTGTAGGAACCTTACCCTAGGAGCAAAGCTTAGCACCCTGATCTTGGACTTTCAGCCCCAGAACTGTGAGAAAATAAATGACTTTTGTTAAGCCACCCAGTCCATGG